ACTCGAGTTGCAACCAGAGTCACGGAACGGATTAAGTTCGTAACTAGAGGTACCACTCTATTTGCCTATCTTCCAAATTTAGAGTTTGTGAACTTAAGAACCAAGAGTTGTATGTGGAGTAAATCTGAGATTTGATATTAGGGGTGTGTAAAATAGTGAGCATCATACCTTCATTAATCATTGCAGTCACAGGACATTGTCCTAATACAGTATAGTCTCAAGCTGAAACTAGCATTTAGAAATGTGGAAAGCCTCCAGCCTTAGCAAATGGAATAAATTAAGATAGTATAACTTGGACAGAGCTAGCCTGGAAGCTAATTGAAATCCACAGACCCCCAGCTGTTAGTGGATTTTATAGCAGTCCGGCATCAGATGCAAGAAGAAGCAGAATGGGATGACCTTATGTTACCCCTTATCCCTTGCCTGAGCTGGAGCACAGCCAGTAATTATTATTACTATTATTAAACTTTAAAAAAAAACATTTTATTGGTGAAATATAACCACCAGAAGATATGAAGTGTAACCAAAAATATAACAGTGTTAATAAAATCAGAAGAGAATATACCCTTCTGGAGGGCTTTGAAGACCTGGTTCTGCCACTTGGCCTGGGGTGGGGAGGGAATACATCAAGCGTGGGGATGACTAGCCCCATAGATGCCTGCTGAGGGCTTTGAAGACCTGGTTCTGCCACTTGGCCTGGGGTGGGGAGGGAATACATCAAGCGTGGGGATGACTAGCCCCATAGATGCCTGCTGTCTTCAGCCCCAGATCCATCATTTTCTTGGAATTTCTCCTTGTTTGTTAATGTTTTGTATAATTTTTTTATATTTTATGTATTTATATATATTTATTGTTTTACTGCTTTGTGTGAGCTGCCCAGAGTCCCCCACTGGGGGGAGATGGGGGAGAGAAATTTAATAAACAAACAAACAAACAAATAAATAAATAAACAGAATAAATGAGTGAATATACAGATTAAAAGAATGTACAAATTAAATGAGTGACATTTGTAGAAACTAAAAATATATCCATAAAGGATTAATATAGAACTAGCTCATTCTTTTAACATATTATTAAATCTAGCCGTACAGACCATCCATTGCTCCATCTTCTCAGTTTTGGCACAATATATTATTTCAGTACAATGATATTTATATAATACACTTAGATTCTTAATATTCTATTATTTATTTTATTATTATTAAATTTGTATGCTGCCTGACTTTGGGCAGCTCACAATAATCAAACAAAGAAATTACAATAAAATCAATAAAAGATAAAGATAAGAGATGGCAAGTATGACAGGCCAGATGGAATGAAATGAGGGGTCTCATTCTCCTCTCCTTCAGCTTAAGGTGAAAGGGGAGGCACAAAGACATTGCCTGCTTGCAATGATGCCCTGAGCTCAGGCCTGGCTGCAGAGCAAACACTCTGTCCTCTCTTTAGCTCTGAGCTGCTGGGGAGTAGGAGATTGCTTTTGCCTCCCCCATCTTGAGTTCCAAGTTTAGAGTGGGAAGGACGAATGGATTCTCCGCTGACACTGTGCTACTTCTAAAGCCGAGCATAAGAACAAGCCTTCTGGTGAAAATTAAATGCTACTTGGACTAGAAGATCCACCCAAAAAATTGGTCATCCTCCAACAATATGCTTATTAGTAGTAACTGTACCATCTTCTGTCAGAGTGAACGATAAAAGGAGAGTTGTAATTTATATGGCACTAGAATTTGGATTCTTCAGAAGGAATTATAGTCTAAGTTTTTTTTTCTTATTCTGGAAACTTCTAAAAATGCTGTCCTGAAATACATATTTCTGATACTTTTACTGCTGTTAACAATACCAGAATGAATGCTTGGCATGATATATGAGATATACATTCTTTGTTTCACATCGCTTATTTTACAAATGATGACATATTTAGGGTTGTTGGTGTTGTCTGCTTTGCAGTGAGACAATTATTGTCAATGTATTCCCTATAGTTTTACATAATGCTGATAAAGAATATCAAATTTTTGAGGGAATTGCTAAGCAAATCTTAGTTATATCTGAAGCATATAGTTATCATGGTAGATGCAAAATGAACGATATGGGGTGTGAGAGAGAAAAAAAGTTCCAACTGAAAAACAAACCAGAATGCCACTTTTGTGAAAGTAGCAGAAAATCAGAGTCTTTTGAACCCTCAGTTTTCATGTTTAATAGAATACCTGTTTCTTTGAAAGGACAGCCAGTTTCTCCAGATGATCTCTAAATAAATTATTATGAGGTTCAGTTCTCCATAAATGATTTTCCCCAGATTATGCAAGAGACTCCACACAGATCACACTCCCCTAGTGCACGCTTGGCATGGCTCGACCCTAAACTCTCAGAAGCCCAGATACCCAGAAATGAACCACACTCAACCTACCCATAGGTTCCTCCTCCTTGGGGTAATTCAGCCAGCTTTTTCCTTCCCTGGGCTGCTGCCCTCGTGCTTCCTCCACACTGCCCTGGCTGGTTTTTGCCTCTGTCCATTTCTCTTTGGTCTGCCTGGCCTCCTGCTGGTCCATCCTCTTGATCGAAGACCAAAGTCATTCTGGCAAGAGGAGGGTGAAGGACGCAGGACGAGATGACAGGGCAGCTTGGTTTTTCACCCCAAGGTTTCTTTGTTTTTTAAAATACAAAAGTTCTAAAAAAAGCAGTTTCAAGGGCATTTTCAGTCCAAAGCGTGGTTGCATCTCATCATTTAAATTAGGGTTGTAACAGAAGATTTTGCAGAAGATAAAAATTCCCATGCTTTGGAAATGGTTTTGTTTATATCCAGATTTTTTTTTTTTTAGTTGCCTGTGTGGTACAGTAAAACTCCTTTTAATAACTCAAACTATCTATTGAGTGCTTATTGTAAACTCCAAGTTGACTTTTAATTACTATAAGGCATGCTATACTTATAATTATCTCTGTTTATTTAGTTTATAATGACAAGCCATTATTAATGGCAGCAAATCATATTTATTTTGTCATTCACTTTGTGCTTCCTTTAAGTTGTTAAGTACAGACACGACATGAAGCAGGCATAATATAATAAACACTCAAAATTATGAAGAATTATTCGTTTTTTCATTATTTGGATGACATTTTGTATACATTAACAGGACACAAAATTATGGATAATAATGGAATATCTTGGTGGTGGATCTGCTCTTGACCTTGTAAGTAACCAGTTTTTATTAAAATATCTATAATTCATCTGGATTTCTAAATATTGTCTTGTAGCTTTTATAAAATATCTTGTATACGTCCTACTTTTTATCATAAAAATAGACCTATGACCGCAGAACTGTAAACTTCACGAACAGAATTTTAATTATTCATGTAGCAAGGGAGAATATGTGCATTACTGAAAGAATCTTGGTTGAATAGTATTGAAAATTTATTTGAAAGTGCATAGATTTGAAACTTATGGGTATTGAATTACAACTTTTATTTTTCTAGTCAAAAGTGCCAATGGATGGGGCTTTTACCTTCAACCCCTAACCCACAACTCTATTCATACATGTGCCTCATGGAAACTTTCAGGTTGCTCTCCCATCATAGCTTCAGATAAATATTTGAGTGATTAACATGTTGGACCTGAAAGACCTATGTTCAAGTCCACTCTCACACATGGAAGCTTCCTGGGTGATTTTGTGCCAGTTGCTGTCCCTGAGACTGACAGAATTGTTGAGCATTACAACAAGTATTAATGAAATTAGAATAAATAAAAACGTACTATGTTGGACTTCAGGGTTTTTAGTTAATGTTTGTTAATTATGTGGTCTTTTGTTCTGAAAGTAATGTGTTTCTTCTAGTTAGAACCAGGTTCACTTGATGAAATCCAGATTGCTACAATATTAAGAGAGATTCTGAAAGGACTCGATTATTTGCATTCAGAAAAGAAAATTCATAGAGATATTAAAGGTAAAACTATTGGGGTTATGTTAGTGTTTTAACAATTGAAGCTTCAATTTTCAAATTACAAACTTTTAAAAAAATATTTTCTAGCTGCTAACGTGCTCCTCTCAGAACAAGGCGAAGTCAAGCTAGCAGACTTTGGTGTAGCGGGACAATTAACCGATACCCAAATAAAGAGAAATACCTTTGTGGGTACACCATTTTGGATGGCACCAGAAGTAATAAAGCAGTCTGCTTATGATTCAAAGGTAAGATTAATGTGCTTCTTAATATTTTCAGGCATCACTCAGAGCCCTATTATCTTTAACTTTCTTAGGAAACAGAAACATCTTTTGCACTGTGAGATGTGCATATGTGGACTTGGCAATTTACCTGTGGGAATTTTTATAGATGAGAGCACATTCATTCAGTGGTTTCTAACTGTAATTTCCACATATAGAATGATCAGGAAAGGCTGGAAAAGATTCCATGTGTTTTTATTGTGCTTACAGTCACATTCCAGAATACTTTAAAAACTTACTCTGAGTGGCAGAAAATTCTAGGAATTTGAGAGCATGTCCATGCTCTCAAGAGTGCTGTAGGTGAACTTTACAGAAGAGGCCTTATTCCAACACATTTTTATTTGGAATGAAGATTATTTTTAAAAATGGAGAAAGTATGTAAAGCTGTTCCTAGGGTTTCCTATTTCCTAGCATCTTCGTGGACTTTTCTTGGCTTGTCATGAGAACCATCCCTAATGTACCAAAATTATTTTCTTCATTTTAAAAACATCGCTAGATGCTCTGGTGAAGAATAACAGTGGAAGCTGTAGGGAGGCTCTCAAATAGGGTAGATGACATGAGTAAACACTTGATCAGGATTTAGAATTTGAAATGAATGTAAACTGTGTACTTTGGATATTGTTAACTGCTACTTTTCAGCTAAAATAATGCAGCTTTTATATTACTTGATATGTGACTGACAACAAAAATTCTTTTGCAGCTGCCCATATATGTAGGTTGCTCAATATAAAGAAATCCCAGAGAACATCAGAGAACAGTTGTACCATTTCTAGAAGGTACAACAAGATGTGGGACAGGTCAACTGAGGGAAGTAGATTTGGCCTCTGAGAAATATGTATATTCTATCCAAATCCATTTCTTCCCTTGGCTGAACCTTTTTCATTCTTTTTACTAATATGATGTTCCTTGGCTGTGGTTAATGTAAGAGATAAGCTTACTTGCTCAAGCTTGAGACCCTGGGCATTTTTTTCAGAGTAGCCACAAAAACAGTGCTGTCTGTACCATGGGGCTCTTTAATAATGGAGTATATGGGAAATATTGGGATATTAAAGGCCTGTTTAGAATTAAGGATATTTTGCATGTCCACTTTTGATCAGGCACATGCCCGTTCAGAATAATAGTCTTTCCCTTCTTCCAGAAATATAATGTGTGGGAAACATATTCATAAAGTTGACTATAAGCATTTAATGTATATTCTACATTTTGTACCTAAAATTAAGATGCAGAGAGAAGAACATGTATGTTTGAAAATGGCCAGTAAAAAGATGGAAAACTTCTAAATGATTTCATTTTTTATTTCTGTCAAACTATAAACATGTCCCTGTGTTAATAGGCAGATATATGGTCACTGGGCATAACTGCCATAGAGCTTGCGAGAGGAGAACCGCCACATTCTGAACTGCATCCAATGAAGGTTTTATTTCTGATCCCAAAGAACAATCCACCAACATTAGAAGGAAACTACAGTAAACCTTTAAAGGAGTTTGTTGAGGCCTGTTTGAACAAAGACCCCAGCTTTGTAAGTTACTAAACTTTGGTAGATATAGTATCTGAATTATGTGTGAATTGCCCAGTGGATTGTAGCAGTAGAAGGGTCGAGTCCGTGTTTGTTTTTAGGAGCCCTAGTGATGAATGTACATGAATGTTCATGCCATGTAAGATTTATTTTAAAAATAAAAAGTATACTATATAAGAGTTAAATCTAAACATGTTTTATGTCCAGAACAGTGAAGGTCTGAAATAAAACTGAAAAAACATTTTTTTCTCTTTTCAGGTCCCCCCCCAAATTTGGAAATTAAGAAAAATAATTATGAAATATTAATATTTTATTTTAAATGATACATAAAACACTTAAGATGTGAATGAAGCATGTGAACTCAAGAAATAAACTGACAGGAACGTTCATGAAAATAAAATAGTATCAATAAAGGATGAGAAGTAGCAACTGCTGATAGTGATAACATTTCAGGTTCATTACATGGGACAAATTGGATTTTCACATGACAAAATATGAATTCTCTTTCTACTCAACTTTTTTGTAAAAAGAGAGCTTTCTGTATCTGTCTGATACAGTCGATAAATAAACAAAACCAAACCCCAGAAACATCACTGTCTTTTTTTATAGTGGTGATGGTTTCTTGTTCCCAACATTAAGCAAAAAGAGGAGCTCCTGAGAGTTCATCAGCTTAATTTACAGTGAGAATTCAAACATTCTAATATAAATTCAAAATGAGTATACTTGCTGTTTCAGTAAATGTTGCTTTTCCATTTCATACACAAAATACACTTTTATAATAAAACCAAATTATACATAATTCATTTTGTAAAGAACAGTTGCAGAATAATTTTTAAAAATGAATATATGATGTTCTGGAGCATGGATAAATGGGGGGATGAGAATCAGCAGGATTGCTACGAAGAGCTATATAGATAATAGCTCTTTTATTTTCAGTGGATTTTTTTCCATTGCTTCAAAACCTGTGGAAACTACTTTTCTACCACTTTCACAAAATTATTTTATGTTATATAGTTACTGTGTTCTGTAGGTAGACTTGAATAATTGCTCATATTAAAAATAAATTTGTTTTTTTTTATTTTGAAAGTATATATAATTAGAAATTAAATTTTCAGGATATCCTTTCACAGTCCATGTTGTCAGCTACCGTATTTTTCCGACTATAAGACGATACTTTTTTCTAAAATCCTTACCCTAAAAACTGAAGGGCGT